GTTCCGCGGCTCGACGCTCTCGCGCGCATGCACTCCTTAAACTAAATCTGAAGAAAAAGAGAGACTGCTCACAGTCTAAGGAAAGCGCGGATATCTGATATTTTACTGCTCGCGTCAGTGTGCTCGGGACTGTGATTGCTGCAATGATGCCCTACCTCTACTTAGTTTAGTTTACCGCATTCCACTATTAAATAGTCTATCGACTTTTCAAATATAAAGAACTTTGTAGTGAGTTAATTTAATAGGCGGCGAGATGTGTTTTGTTGGCATAAGAATCACGGGTGCTAAAAACCGCCAAGCATGAAGGTGACACTGAAATTACGTTTTTAAAAACGCAACAAACAATAAGTCCAATTTGTTTGATTGAATCAGTGTCGCGTGAAATCAAAGAATTCTCATTATACACTTGAAGTTGTTTACACATGCTCAGTTTAAATAGTCTTTGTATCACACATGCCAAAATAATCTTATGATTAAAAACTATGGTTTATGGAATCGGGTTTAGGAAAGTTAAGCACGATAAAATTAATCCCGTGATGAATGACCTATCTTGGACCTTTGAAAGTTCGGTTTTGTTTTTTTTTGGCTACAAACTTTACATTTTTACTATATTAAAGCATTCCCCTTGTTGTTGTTTCCTCACATTTTTGCCCTTGATAATGTGCTGGTGCAAGACTTAAGTCCGGCCATTGTCTCGGTTGGGTTCAAATCCCAAGGATACAGTAAAGAATCTTTAGGCATACTTACATAACACAAAGGCCATAAAAATCTAGTCACTTTAATATTGACCCAGCTTGCAATATAATACTATTCTGAAACAATACAGGGAATATTTTAAAGCAAAGAAGAGTTTTATTCTCTCAAAAAGCCTAGTTTATTGAAGCAACAGCTATGTTTTCACAAAATGTAAAAAAACAAAAAAAAAACCAGTGGACATGTTAAAAAGTCATGACCACTGAGCCTATAATGGTTTGACTGAGAAAAAAAAAGATACTTAAAACAAAAACCTCATTTACTAAAATTCCTATATTTGTCATCCAACCTTTAAAAAAAAAAATAACATAATTATCAAGATATGCAATGAACTGAGCTTTTTTCAAAAATAATATCTCCACAACAAAATTAACATATTACCTATGTATTTTTACACCCTTCCATCCCTCCCTGGTTAAGAACTCCTCCTGGGCCGAGTTGTTCAAAGCTGGGTTAAGATAACCCAGGGTTAGTATGAGATTTGAATTCAGATTTGAAAGCTTTAAGAGCACTTTAGTTTTAATTCTTTTTGTCTACAAGTTGATGATTGGAAGCTCTAAAAATAACAGAGGAAATTATCTGAGAAAATGCTTTTGAGCACAAGAAAAGGAAACCCGGGTTAAGCGCTAATCAGCCTTCGGACAACTGGGCCCTGAAGTCCATCCAGGCCATAACTCAGGGCAAATTATTGGGCTTGGAATAGAACAGGCCTAATGGGCTCCAGCAATTATCATTACTTAACCCTTTAAGCCCCAGTATCCACATACAAATTCTCCAAACTGATCTCCATACATTTCCTTAAAGAATTAGTTGAGAGAATTTGATAATAGATCAAGGCAGTTTCTCTAGGGTGATCATTTTATTTATTCTCATAACGTATCGCTTGACAGTGTATGGATATTGTTAGGAGAAAATTGATCTTGGTCACTATTGGGACTAAAAGGGTTAATGTACATTACTACACATTCAGCAGAAAAAAGTGACAATGAAGTAAGCATCAACTGCCATTTTAAAACCCTGAGCGTATCCCTATCAAAATGATGCTAACTTCTTGATTGTCTTTCAATAAAAGCTTGAAAATATACTGCTGAATTTTCCATATTTACAAGAAACTACAATAGTACACATCCTTAACAGGACTGGACTGCACTGCTAGGAATGCTGGCTGTGTCACTAACTGAAAAAAATTTTCATGTAATCACCAGGCTTACAGTGCGACTACAATAACTGGGGCCACCTAGACAAAGTTGACCAATTGGATTTCAGGAAAATAATGATACATTCCAAGAAAGTTAGTTGTCAATCATATTTACCATGTAAAAAAATAAATCTGGATCAAAGTCAACCAATTACAACCTACAGACGTGACCTTTAGAAAGCATTTGTTTCCCGAGAGGTCCGTTGGAGTGAGTAATGGAAGCGAAAAACTTCAACAATAGTTAATATATATTTTAGACTTGCGGTCTCATGTTAATGCAAAGCACTGCAATAGAAGCAAGGAAATTGCTGGTAGATGACAAAATAACAGCTCATGTCAAAGAAATATATCTCATGGATGTTGTATGCAAAGGTTCAAATAGAAACATTGTCTGGTGAAACATTTTGTCTTCCTGAAATACTGCTATCCATATTAAATTTTGTGCTGCGAGTAACTTATTGTTTTTTACGCACTGCTGATTGGCCCAGAACTGACTTCCTTGGAATATACTGTTATTTTCCTATAATCTGATTGGTCAACTTTGTTTAAGTGGCCCCGGTTACAGAGGGTGCACTGTAAAATTCACCATCACATTTCTATCATTGCACAACAGCATTCCAGTCCTGGCAGTATGCAGGATGTTGGCAACATGAAACTAGTTTAATGGTCTTAGCTCCAACAAGTCTCCTGAAGCTCGGGGGGGGGGGGGGG